TGTGCCGAATGCAAGAACATTTTGTATATTTGTATGTATGTTTGTAAATACATTTTGTGCATTAAGTGTGTGTACGAACTGTAGCAGCTGAGTTGAGATGAAATGAAATCATTCAAATTATACTTGAACAATTATTTTTTGTGCAAATATGATTTGATATTGAATTTAATATATTAAAAGCAAATATTATTTCATTCTAAAACTGAATAGAGAACAATGTTATATAATACAAGCTGTGCTAGTGGTTCTACAATACTTTAAATCTTAATTTTCTAAATTATTTTTGACTGAAGCCTTGCAGCATCGAAAAATAGGAGTACGATATACGCAAAATAGCTTGAAAGTTCTCCAAGGTCATCGGTAAGAGTCCACCAGCCTTAATCTGGAAGAATGCAAAGGTTTTCATAAGATTTGCAAGGCATTTAAAAATTATTTTGCTATTTGTAAAAATATACTTCAAGTGGCTTATGGCTTCTGGCGATCATAATCTGCACACATTTGCGTAATTCTGGATTTCCCTCATACCACGGAGTGTCATAGGCGGCATAGGCAACTTTTAAGCTCTGCATTAAAAGAAGTATATATAATGTATAGGCAGATACAAATATGAAAAACATCTGTATAGAATGTATTTAAATAAAAATATACAAAGAATAGACATTTACCTCGTGCGAGAAATTATCTGCATAATAGTAGGTTATACCGATTACATAAGAGTTGAAAGTGATATACGCCACAGCTGGTAATAACAGTTGAAGAGTATGTATCTATTTAAATATACAAGTTATTTCAGATTAAGAATTTATGTACTTCTGCGTTGATCACAAGTTGTCGAAACGAAAAGCCACAGGGCAAATGTCATTCTCTCACTATTACTTTCATTCTCATTGCAATTTCCATTTCTATTTCAATATCAGTTTTAAACTGAGTCTCTGTTTCTGTCTCAGTCTCAATATAAAACTCTATTTTTATTTCATCCTTTATCTCAATTTCAATATCAATCTCAAACTCAACCTCAACCTCAACCTTAATCTCAATCTCAATCTCAATCTCAATTTCAATCTAATCTCAATCTCAATCTCATTCACTATCTCAATCTCAATCTCAATCTCAATCTCAATCTCATTCTCAATCTCAAACTCAATTTTTATTTCATTCTTTATCTCAATTCCAATATCGATCTCAATGTCATCTCAATCTTAATATCGATCTCAATCTCAATCTCAATCTCAATCTCAATCTTAATCTCAATCTCAATCTCAATCTCAATCTTAATCCCAATCTCAATCTCTATCTCAATCTCAATTTCAATCCTAATCTCTTTTTCAATCTCAATATTGATCTCAATTTCAATATAAATC